TAAGGAGGTTTGGGAAATAGGCCGAATACGAAAAAGGAAAAGGCAACGAGTATTTCATGTAATTCTTACGCACGTTTGCGTATTATGTCAGTTGCAGGACAGCCTTTTTCGTTCGGGGTAATGGAGAATGCGGAGTCCTGGGGAATATAAAGCGGAAAAAAACTTCCACTAGAAAGAGTTTTAGTAGAAACGATCTAAAGGATTGCATATTACAAGTCGTGATAGGAAATAGAATGATATATTGGTGGATATATTCAAATCAAATTCAAATATCTGACATCTTATCGGTATCCTTGCATGAAGTCTCCGTAGCACCACGACCAAAGTCGCAACATTTTCGTATTTGTTGACATCTGATCAGACCGAACAGGTATAAGCTGTCCTGTAGAAGTCACTGAAAAGTTTCTTACCCTGATCAGTGTTATGGATATCCTTGAGCAGTCTCTCTGCATCTCTTCAAGCTCGGATACAACCGCCACTTAAATAAGTGAACCTTTATATTGTTATTGGCTATAAGTTTGTTAATACAAGTTGATTTGATTTGAAATCAGCCTTTAGAGTCTGAGACGTTGAGAACTGGTTATCTTGAGAGCCAGATGCCATCACCTGGGATCAAAGCGTCCTTTGCAACACATTCATCGTTTCTGAAATTAGCTGGCACGTTGTTCTGTCCTGCTGGGAACATATTTCTTACAGGTCAAGGTATAGGATTACAGTGGTACCGGTAAAGGCCTTCCACATTTCATCGAATCTTAGTTTTTTAACACTGAATTAAGCGATGTCGTCTAGTCAACAAATTTGACAGTTCCAGATTTCATTCTAAATTAGTTTTTTCCTAGATATGTTACCAATGTCCTTTGAATCAATATGTATATTATTTTGGTGCTCTTCAAATTCTATAAAAGGTCAATAAGGTTCTTTTGCTCACTCTAGTTGCTCGAGACAATACAGGATGTTCAAGATAAGGATCATATGCATGGCGATCGGATCTCAATGCCTGTGCGAGATACAGCTTAGGTTGAATTAGGAAAAGCTATATATACTAAGTGACATATAAATCCGAAAACCCAGTTTAAATGGTTTTATTTTAATAAAATTTTGTATAAGTACTTACTGAAGCATAATAAGTAAATGATAAAAATTTCAAAATGATTGCACTGCTTTAAAGCCCTTTGACCTTTAATAATGTGTGGATGCACCCTGATGTGCTACGCATTCTCCAACGCGCCTAGGCATGCTTCTGATCAGGTGGTCAATGCCCTCCTGTGGTATCTCATTCCAGGCAACCACCATCTCCTCTCGAAGTGCTTCTAGAGTCTGAGGAGGACGTTGCAAATTGAGCAATCTCCTAAGCATCATATTCCGCACGTGCTCAATTGGTGATAAGTCGGGAGATCTTGGTGGCCATGGTAACAATGTGACATCATTGTGTTGAAAGAAGTCTATTGTGACTCTTGCAACATGTGGTCGGGCATTATCTTGTTGGAAAGTTGGATCTGCCAGGGTGTCAAGATAGGGTAAAAGATGGGGTTCTAGAACTTCGTGGATATAACGCTGCGCGTTCATGTTACCTCTGATGAAGATTTAAGGTGACCTGGAACCATAAGCTATAGCACCCCAAACCATAACTCCAACAGTGTGATGAACATATCTTTCAACAAAAAACTGTGGATTCCTCCTTTCACCCTTACACCTACGTAATCGCCTTGAGTGGTGCAGACAACGGTGACTCTGGGATCAGGAATGGAACAGTATTGTCTTTAGTGACGAGTCTCGATTTTATTTAGGCATGCACGATGGTCGTGCCAGGGTTAGAAGGCGACGTGGTGAAAGGAGGAATCCACAGTTTTTTGTTGAAAGATATGTTCATCACACTGTTGGAGTTATGGTTTGGGGTGCTATAGCTTATTTTTCCAGGTCACCTTTAATCTTCATCAGAGGTAACATGAACGCGCCGCGTTATATCCACGAAGTCCTAGAACCCCATCTTTTACCCTATCTTGACACCCTGGCAGATCCAACTTTCCAACAAGATAATGCCCGACCACATGTTGCAAGAGTCACAATAGACTTCTTTCAACATAATGATGTCACATTGTTACCATGGCCACCAAGATCTCCCGACTTATCCCCAATTGAGCACGTGTGGGATATGATGGGTAGGAGATTGCTCAATTTGCAACGTCCTCAGACTCTAGACGCAGTTCGAGAGGAGTTGGTGGTTGCCTGGAATGAGATACCACAGGAGGACATTGACCACCTGATCAGAAGCATGCCTAGGCGCGTTGGAGAATGCGTAGCACATCAGGGTGCATCCACACATTATTAAAGGTCAAAGGGCTTTAAAGCAGTGCAATCATTTTGAAATTTTTATCATTTACTTATTATGCTTCATTAAGTACTTATACAAAATTTTATTAAAATAAAACCATTTAAACTGGGTGTTCGGATTTATATGTCACTTAGTATACTTTAGGGCGTATTTAATGCCTTTGAGAAACTTGTAAAAATTTCACGGCTTACTGCGATATTTGGGAAAAACTATAATTTCCTCAAATCACTTTTATTTTTGCTTCCGACTTTATTTTAAGAATTATCAAACAACTAACGAAGCATTTCATTGGCACTTTTTAGGCACTACAGGATGGTTGTTTTAAATGTTGCGCCTGACGAATCGTTTTGGTCCGAAAAAGAGTACAAGTAGGCTGGGTTGGGAAACCTAAAGAGGAAATCTATCGTCTGACTAGGAGTATGTTTAATCGTGTCTCTCAATAATACATAAGGCTTCGAGGATACCCAAAAAATTATTAATTATTTTCAATGGTTGGATTTTCCTGAAATTTTTGTCAATTACTTACCTAACCTTAAGAGACACGTATAAATAACAAATTTAAACAATATCATTATTACTTGCTGTTCTTGTTCTGCCACTTAGTATATGATAGCAATTGAAAAATGGGATTCCCAATGTTACTTCCACAACCCTTAATTTCCCCACAACAACCCTCTCATTAATTTTATACTCTAGACGGTACCCCCTTCGAAACATTTTAGGGGTAAGTAGTTCTCCAGTTGCCGGCTACGTAAATTTTAATAACCATAGTTCTTTATTCTCATTAAAGAAGTAGTAAACTCTTATGTATCCCATTACGCAGGGAAAACTTCCAAACTCCGCCAGCTTAACTAATACGGCTAATAAACCGAATTTATAGCAATTGCCTACAGGCGTGCCCGTGCACGATACCAGGACAAACAAATAGCCAATTACGTAGACATACCTGGGTTTCTTGGATTCCTTTCGGCAAATATGAAGTTTCTCATTGATGTTTATGATTGCCTTTCACGCAAAAGATTTTTTGTATCTTGGCCATCTCAGGGATATTTACACTCTAGCGTCAAGTCATCGTTGGTTGTTAGAACGGTCCGTGGGACCTTAGCTCTTGTGTCGTAGTGTCACTTTGTAAGTCTGTCGGCTGTGGCAACCCAGAAACCAGACAATTTTAAGGCAAACAGTGAATAGTAATAATTATTTACTCAATGTACAAAGAGAACAACATGAGTAAATAAATATCGAATAAAAGCAGGCCCTGTGCATGGCCCAATAATTTTAAGCTGCAACTGTAGAATACAAATTACAAAAAAAGGATTATGTATTGACTTGATGATCGTATTTATGAGTTTATGAATTTCAGTCCTAGATATAGAATGTAGCTCCTTTTTCAAATTTCTTCTGAAATGATTTGCGAAATATAATTTTTTTATATCTTCAGGTGTACTCTTATAAAGTTCTGGCGCTAAATAGAGATATGACGGCTGTATTATAGATTTCAGGAAAAGAAAGAAGGAAGGAAAGGAGCAAGAAGGAAGAAGACAATCTTTTAAGACAGTGCGCGTTTCGGCATTGTTAAAATCATTTGACAAATATTGATATGATTTGAAGATATTTGATTTTTGTCAAAATGCTCTAATTTTGGCTGTTCTAGATTCACGAATTAATTTTGTGCTTGCGAACTTGTTCGGGTGTGTAGTAAACTGACTCTTACAACAGAAGGTTGCTGTGAGGTTCCGCTTGGCTTGGAGGTCTCTGTAAAGAGTTTCGTTCGAAAAAATTCTCTGGCGTCTGGGAGCGGAAGGGACAAACGGTCACAGACTTGACCATGTGCATCAACAATAATTAAAATGTCTTCAAGTTTTTTTTATTCTGCACTTACCACGCAATACTGTCATCAATTCATAAAGGATTATGTTGGGCACAGGTTAGCCCATCTGAGTAAAAGCTATGTAGTCAGTGAAACACCCGTTTGGTGACACTACGGTCTAGAAATTTCTTCCCTGTCCTATCGATAGTATTGACCATCTAGCAACGTTGCTGCACCACGCCAGTCAACCAAGAGTCAGTGCTAGCGGTACACTGCCAGACATGATTTTGTACACATACGCGTACTTTCGTTGCGTTACCGTGCGACGATGCGCGACGCGTCTATTGACAATACTTCTCTATCATTCTGCTTGAAGGCCGATGGCTGGGAAATCTATTATGTACGAAATATGTGCCAAGGTTCGCCGCGTATGAATACATCTACTACAGCAAAATACTTGAGAATACACCCCCTCCCAATTTTTTACCTACAGAATAAGTTTCAGAACTGAGTAGAAGCCTCTGAATGTCAAAAAAAGAATTTTGAGCATTTATTCTATTTTCTCGTTTTTTGACTAGTTCGGTCACACTGGATCAAACTTTTTCGTACTTGGTACAATCTGAGCGGTACGGTCGGAGTTACGGTGTCAATGATTAGGGGGCAAACAGGCAGATTTTTGCTCCATGTGTGGGAAACACCCTGTATACTTCGGTGTGGTTTTCAAACATTTTTTTCTAATGTTTACCTACGTTCGACTAATTAATTCAGTCCATGCTCACGATTTCTCTGTTGTTCCATGTGACTGGTAGGCGGAATGTACGTATAGTTATAGCGATAGTTTGATAATTTTAAACCTCATCATTATTCATTACATTAATTTATTGTCTATGTTTACTTTATTGTCGTTTGTACAAAACCCAAATTGTTATATTAATCTATACTATCTAGAGATGCTAAGAACGATCAGAACTGACTCTCAGCAATTGTTTTATCTTGTATCACAGGTATATTTTCATAGATGTGCTCACTGTTTTCCACCATTTCTGAAACATAATTACAATTACGTTTGGAAACCAGAACCGTAGGTTTTGAGTCCTCACCAGAATTAGGTGGCCTTTCCAGATGATCTCGTATCAACTTATAGATATATCTATACTGCTCCTGAAATACGCACAGTGACAGTATGAACAGACAATTGAAAAGGATGCAACAAGGTCGAGGGCTTGGTTATATTTGAGGCTACTAACCATTTTGGAACTCTGTTACCAACTTGTTTAAATAGTTCCAAAGAACCAGATCTTACTACAGTACTTTCTTTGTTCGTTGACAAATTTTCAAATTGCTAACTGCCGTCTCGACCTTGCAAACAAACGCACATCTTCCCTTTGAAGAGCTACGAGGGCCATCCTTAAAGTAACAATCGATTGAGCAACATGCCCGCGCATCCTGTCACGTGACGTCGTTCAACCTCAGACACTCTTGGCCAGTCTCACTATGCGGCCATAACGTTTCACGTCTCTGTCGGTGATGGTTGTGTGATTATACTGGTTTGTTTGTCGAAATTCTTAAACGCCAAAAATGCTCATCTTACTAAAATTTAGCATCAGCTTGTTGAATTAGGCGCGCTATTCAAAACCTCCGCGGTGTCGTTCTGCTTCACGACAGCGTTCGGTCTCACGTTGCAGCAAGAACACAGACGCAATTGGACAGGTTTCATTGGCAATTATCCAGCACGCAGCACCATCAGACCCACGTTTTTCCAAAACTTAAGAAATAATGGCGTGCTGAAAGAATAATTTACTAACTGGTTCAACGGTCAGGCGGCAGCGCTCTTTGACAACGGGATCCAAAATCTGGTACCATGGCTAAACAAATGTTCAAATTTTTATGATGACCATGTTAAAAAATGAAAGAAATGCTCATATTTTACTAATGACCCTTTTATGTAAGATTCTTGTAAGTAATAGGATATGGGGTGTAAAGAAACAGTTTTCTGTTATATAATACATTTGCCGACGTTTCTGAAAAATGTGTTTGCTTCTTCAGTTCTCCTTTTACTAAATATGTTGAACTATCTTTTGACTTGGCCACCGCAGTTTCCGGGTAAAAAGAGCCCTGAAGAAGAAGATAAATTTTTCAGGTACGTCGAATTTTTCCGGTACGTCGGCAACTTTGTAACAGGAAACTGTGCTTCTTTGGGCCCCATAAGCAATTAATTACAAGAAGTTCATGTTTTAGTTTGTGGAACAATTAAAGTTTTTCCGACTCCATTACAAAACTGTTCTTAGTTAGAAAATGACCCTCGTATTTCTTTCGGGCAAGTATTCGTAAATGGCTTGTCAAAGCGTAAATGGTCAACAGCGGAGCTGCCACTGCGATTACCTTCCACTCAATTTATCAAAAACTAACCTCGGTCTGTACCATAAGAGTCCTCTGCTCCCTGAGCTCCATCACCGTTTCAAACACGTCTATTTGTTTTCCATCGTTAGCCTTCTGCAGTAGAATATCTGTGGCGATGAAAGTTCCTGTTCTACCCACACCAGCACTTCAAACAAATAAAATTGGTCATGAAGGAACTATTAAGGAAAAAATGTTCCACTTAACACTAGTCATATTTCACAATATTAGTTAGCTAGTTAAATATTGTGATGACCATCGATTAGCAGGTGAGTCAAATTTTAGGAAAACATATTTACATCCCTCCATGTTCATCTGGCTGGTAGATGAAACTATATATAGAATGCATAATATTTTTAGAATGCCTAGTTCTTTGACTAAGAAGTGTATTTTCATGAGTTTCGATGGAATAAGACAGTTTTGAAAATATCAGTTTTATCATGTGTATGATGCTGGTTCCGATGTACAGTTATTCATTGCCAGTGATCCGAAAAGCTTCTAGATTATTATTATTTTTCATTTTAAAGCTCAAACATTATACAAAGTTTACCTACTTCCAAATATTTAACTTAGTATGATATTTTTACGCGACCGGATAGTTGCAACACTTTTTACTTTAAATCCCTACTAACCTTATAAATGAGAAATTGTGGATGTTTGTTATATATAGAAAGAGTTGCGAGCATGCGCTTTTGCGAAAATACTACGTTTAATTTCAGAAATGGGTGAATTTTGGACAAAAATGCGAAGTTTGGTGTTTTAAAGAATATTCAAGTACTAGAATGAAAAGAAAAATGTTGAAACCTTGAAATACATATGTCCTCTTTAAATGCACAACTCCCTGATTCTTTTAAGATTAGTCCTAGTGGTGATCCAGCCGCCTCAACTGGTTTCTGCTTTGTGAAAGTTTTGTTGGATTATAAGGTGAATATGAAAAGCACAGTTTCACTGCCGTCACTTAAAGGCCTGTATCCAAAAATACAGTACAAAGTAGTCTCAAAGCAATTAAAAAGACACTCCTTTAATGTTTGTTCTTATTTGTTTTGTATGTGAATTTTACATCCGTTCAAATTACCTGCAATGTACAATGACAGGCCCCCCTTCTTGGTCGACCCGCTGTCTTACTTGATAACAAAACTGCAACATATGCTCTGTACCAAGCGGTACGCCAAAGTCAGGCCATTCCAGGAACTGCATGTGTGTTACTGTTTTCTGTACGTTATCCTAAAACGATATACTTGACCTTCATTCAGATGAATCATTCTGTAAGCCAAGGTGGACGGTAACTCATAATGCAAAGATCGATATAAAAATATTGGGCGACATACACTGCTTTTCAAAAGTACAATCCTCTACCGATTATTTATTTAAAAAGCTCAAGTTAGCAAGCGCTTGGTGCAAAAACCAGGTACGGCCAATTTTTATCAAAAAATGCTTTTTCGAATATTCTAAGAATTTAGATCATTGCGGATCGTTTGGTGCTAAAATAAGCCCAACGCTTCTAATGTGCAAGTGCATAGGATTTCACTTGCCTGATCAAGTATTGGTAGCATAAGTCACCCTAAACGCAAGAAACGCATACGCTGCCCTGAAAAATGGCCATATCCATATTCTCGATTAATGAAAAGTACTAGTACGTTCGACTTCAAAAGACTTTTAAGCTGTAAACGTAAATCAGAACATGATCAAGAATTTTGCAACACATCTTAAAGCTTGTTTAAAATCTGCTTATGTTAGAAAAGAAAAAGATAAGTTTAGTATTTCAACCTACCGACTCTTCCAGTATCAAAAACGATTCAAATATGTGGAATGCAGTATAGCAACACCCATCCCATCCTTTACAAGATTTTATAATGAAAAACAAAATATGGTATTGTGCTTTCCAAGTTCACATGTGATACATTCTTTGCCTGTTGATGTTAAACTTTCATCATCATTTCTCTAATTGAAGATTTATTTTTGTTACCCCTCTTTTAAGTTGTTTCGGTTTTGTTCTCTTTGATTATTAAAACTGTTTACACTAATTTTTCCATTACTCCAATATAATGTTCGGGACAAAAACCAAACCTGGTAAGACCAAATTTATAACAAAAAAATAAAAGTTTGGGTCCATGTTTTTATGCCATTTCATAGCAGATTTTTTATTACCTTCTCTATACCATTGAATAAAACGGTCTTCTTTTCCATATTTTTAAGACAAAAATATTCAGTTTTTATTTTTAACATTTTCTTATTTCCTAAAACTTTCTATAATGTGCTCGGTTTTTGCACCGAGGTCTTTAGTTTCCGTTTAGTTTCCGCTTTCTGAAAAATGAAAACTCTGGGATTTTTTCAGTGGATTGTTCCATACTTTACTACATAATCAGAGTCTTCCTTCCAAAAATAAAAATAAATTTGATATAACATGTTCCAGCGTTCTGATCATTTTGTTGTTGCGATTCAATGTACAAAACCTTCTAACAATTGACAGTTTTCCAGTCTAGATCGAAATTTTATGATCTTGGATGATAAGTGGCGCCAAAAACAGTTATCAGGTGAACCTCAAGTATGATATACTCGTACATGCATCATTTTCATCACAACGATTTTTGATCTGTTCCAAAATGATAGGCCCGAAACATAAAAAAGTGATATGTGCTGAGGATCCCACTATATTCTTTCATGTATTTTTTTCCACTAAACAAGAATCTGTCATAAGTGAAGGTTGCTTTACAGATAAGTGGCTAGTAATAGTAGTAATAGACATCTCTCCGTTTGGTATTTTTAGTAGACATTTCGGGGACCCCCAAATCTGTTTCATGTTTAGCAGAAAAAAATCTTGGAAAAAAGAAAGTCTGACCCTCAGCGCACTTTCGACTTTGTGACTTCCATATCGCGATTTTTTGTATCTTGTGTGTGCTCAATACGAGAACGTTCAATAGATAAACTTTGAAAGGATAATAATGAAGGAGCATATCAGTAATAACTGTTTCATATTTACCTTCCTGACCTGTATTGATCTAATACAATATGTACCAAAATTGAGCTCAATCGTACACGCTACTTCCATGTCTTCACCAATAATCATTAGTTTACCCTTCTCTGGAAAATACTTGAAACACTTCTCCTACAAGTGGTTGAAATTATTTTAGATCATAGAATAAGTTACTACCTTACTTTCTTGTTTGCAATGAACTGTGAAACCATAACTATTACGTTGACGTTTTCTTGCAACACCATTTTCCAAAAATCTCGACATGTTGTAGGCAAGGGACCTTGAGTAGCAATATATTCATGTTTCCCTGTGTATCCCTGTAAATTTACCACGATTTTTATATCGGTGAATACTCGCGAAGTAGACGACAAATTTGTAGTTGTATCCAGAAAGAGATTACACAAGGCTCCAGACCTAACGTTTTGATATAGTAATCTGCTAAGCAATAAGTTACTGACATTTGAAAAATAAAAGTCAGCTGGCAATTGTAAATAGTTATGTGATACATTTCACTATTTTCTAAGAGATAACTTCCAAAATACTAACCTTAATGTACGAGGCATTTATGTAGTCGGAGCCAATTTCATCGTCCTCATCTATCAACAGTTTTACCCTTGCGTCATCGTCTAAAAGACAAAATATAAGGCAAAAGTTGCACAGATCGTCTTCTTTCATTACCACTATACATCCAAATTGGGTCCTCATTTGGATATACAAGGAAACTTATTGGGAGATATATTTTTACCGTAGAGGACACTTTAGTGGTTGTATATAACCTATGGTTGGTAGACTTTAGCCGGTTATATCCGAGATACAAATAATTTTGTAAATTCTGTTCATTTCTTCATGACCGCGGACATTTTTCATCACTATGTATAGTTTTCTTAAACGTACGCGTACTCGGCTTATGCTATGAAAGCGAGTACGATACGAACAGAGAAAGATATACAAGTCCGAATTACTTAAAACTTGACCGTTTTACCCAAAAGCAACATTCTTTATATTGGAATTTCTGAATTTTGTATATATATATATATAGAAAAAGTACATAAACTTCATTCCAAGACAAGTTTTGTTATTAGAGCTAACGATTTTGTATGATCTGGAGATTCTGATTTTTGTTTGTTTTGGAGTACAAGGCTGAATATGTTTATCAATTTTATAACTTACTAGTCAAGACTGTATGCGCTAAATTAGTATACGATTTAAAAGGCCATTTTATGGTCTAGTTACTTCATCTAGCTAGATGAATAAAAGCTTACTTCCAGGTCCGTATTAAGAATTAATGGTTGGAGGTTGCGTATCCTTAAAATGAGGAAATTTGCATTGAGGAAATCTCTTAAGTTTTCACAGACACACAGTCGAAACATCACATGCAATGTGAATGGCAACACGGGCTTGATTGTGCCCCATCAAATTTTAGAAAAATACAGCGGATGGTCAAAAAGTTGACACGCCATAAAGGAATGGTGAAAATCAACGAAACTCTCCATATCTCGGTTATCAGAAGATAAAGACTTTTCAACCGTAGGTTATTTATATTCACCTCAGTATCCTCTGTTCATGGTTGAAATCGGTCCCTTAGAGAAGCACTTTTGTTGCGCATGTTGCGGATTTTTACAAGGTTATACCCTATCTTTACCTAGGTAATACGTACTATTTTGACATAGACTTGCTCATAAAATAATAAAAGGATCTCTATAAGCACTTAGTTGGATACAAAAATGCAGTACAGTTGCCTCCCCAGAATGAGTATCAACAAGAGGCTAGAACTAAGGCTGTTATGTCTATTTACACAACCAAAACCAGACCAATGAGTTGCGTGTAACCGTGATGATTGAAACATAAGGTTGAACATCTCAGAGAGTACTTCAATCGGTTATAGTAGGTTAGCACAGATAGCACCAATAGAACTCTAGCTGTCGATGCGCTCGTTTCAGCCAGAAGCAGCAACAGACACAGCGGTACAGAGTCGGACTGTTTTCAGCGCTGTCAGCTGCGTTGAACCGTGCATTGTTAATCGTTCAAGTGCGTGTTTACAGTATGAATCAAACAATTTTTGTATGTGGATGTCTGTTTCGAGTCCGAACAACTTTACCAGAAAAGCTACGGGGTCCTATATTTCGTTACAGTGTCGGCTCTGATTCTAATAAAATGTTGACACTGAGATGCTGCTATGACAGAACACCTCCTAGCAATGGTGGTACACAAGCAAGTAAAAAGGGAAAAAGAACGTCAACAAGCCTAATATATTGAATGTTTTTGCAGTTGCTGATTATTTTTTGAGATAGTAAAAAAGTTCACGGGGACAACACCAAAGAAATCCGAAGGTTTATTTGACGTTTTTTCAGTTTCTGGTTATTTCGGGCCATACTAGAAATATAGGTTGTTCGAAAATCCTGACACCAGAAATGCCTTCTATCGTTGCATATATCACCAGCAACGCTTGGAATTTCTGTGTAGCGAAAATGTCTCTAACTTTATTTGATCAATTCAACCTTTTCCACTTTTATCAGTTTAATCAGTTCTCATATAGTTTTGGGAAAAAACTTAAATTTCGTCGTTTCGCAAAAGTGTGTGACTATTGACAAAAAATTTGCAGTTATCAAAGCTCCAGAAGCGTTAGTGAAACCGATAACCACCAATGATAGAAGACACAGATCACGAAACCTCTCCAGCTTATGCATCGACTACAAGGCAATTTTTCAGTAGATCCAACGGGACTATTGGCCTCCACAGGGGTATTCAAGTGATTGTGATTGAAGCAGCTGTATACAACTATTAATTTTTATTGGTTCACCTGATTAACGTAGTCATCGACGCTATATGGTTGTTCTTCTGTACAACTTATTTATATAGGATTTCATCATTTTTGTCGCCACCGGTTTTTTCGCTCTTTCTATTCGGTCCGAATCTGCTATACCGAAACAAGTTATCAGACTGTCATAGAGTGATACGCATGTATTTTTGTGAAAAAGCTTATACTTAACTTCGACACAATTTAGTCAGAATGCTGAGATGATTACATAGTACACACACCTCTTTATACATTATACAGTCTTGTTAATGTATTGCGCCTCGTGCATGGTACAAATTACTTAACTCTCGCCGGTATCGAGTCGATCGTGTTACTAAATTATTCGCTCATTTCCAAACAAGCAGGTTCTGACTATCAGAGACTATCTCAAATAGACATCCACACAACTTAATGATACTATCATGCCTTGCTACGAGCAGCTCTGATCTGGTCTACTATAAATGTTGCTCCGAAACTACCGGAAATTTATTGTTAGAAAGAACCGATAACTCCGAACCTGTACGCAGTACGCTTGACGCTGTAAACGGCGGTGCGCGTGACCTTCCTTAGCCGATCGCCTATCTGATGGTGTCTGAAAATTGAACCGGGAATTTGAATGAGTATAGTTTCTGGTTTGCTTGTTCTATGCAAACAGGTGCATGTGACCATACAACCACTTGTATGCAACAACTAGGTACAGCGTTGAATACAGTTATGTGGTGGAATGGTCACACGCAACTCGTCGCATAGTTGCACGGTTGCTGGCAACTGGTAACAATGGTTTTAATTACATAAATAGAATGAATTATGCTTGTCACAGTGAGCTCTTACATGGCAAAATGTTTACATATCTGTTCTTTCTCCAGTTTTCAGATAATCTAGCGAACGATGTCGTTTGCTCAGCAACGATCTCCTTTCCTCTTCTGGTAATAGCCTCAAACTGAGTAGTAAGTCTGTCGGGATCTTCTTCTAAGGCCTTGCATTCCTCGATGAATCTTTTCTGCATATCTTCTTTCTTGGGTTCTCTTTTTGTGTGGGACGTACTTGTAGTAATTCCTGGCAAACTGTTTAAAGTGAAAATTTGACGTATATGATTTTAAAACTAGCGTCTGAAGTGTACAATTATTGTTGTCGTTGTGAAGTGTGTAGGTAGGTAAAGAACTAAGAGAACGAACGGTGGGTGCAGATGTGGATTTAGAACATTTTGTTGTTATCAACAAAACAGCCGGTCATGCTTGAAACTAACAGTGTTACTCATTGTCTACAATTTTAATTAGTCAACGTAACGGTGGCATCGCGTTAGTCGACATTTGGCTTAGGACTTCACTTAAATGTCTTCTTTACCACCGTGCCCTGGATAAACTATTATGATCTAAACATGTTTCCTTTCACAAAGGAAATGTAAAAGATAAAGGTTTTAGCAAAGTGTAGCGCTTAGGTTGGTGTAAAGGGGGTGTGTTGAGCTTCTCCCTCATAAATACCTTCGATCTGAAGCCGAAACGAATGTTCCAAATTGCCTTCCAAACACATCTCTGAAAGATTTCATAACCTGGTTTCTAGCTTTTCGTGAAAATATACGAGTGTAGGGACGATCTATACTCGAATTTGTACTGCGAAAATATAAAGCGACTCTTAGATTAAAGGCTATTCTCGTATTTTATATAATTTCTGAAGTGTATTTTGTGTTTTTGTGCAAAAAAGCGAAATGTTTTGACTACACAAAGCTTTGTTCGAAACTGTTTGTTACAGCAATATAAAGACCAAAGCAGAGTGAATATTTCATTTCGTTTTTGTAAAAACATCGACTGTACGCTTTGAATGGTAGCGCAGCTTTTGCTCCTGCAAAATGTAGTACTAAATTATTCCTCGGATATCCAGTATGCTCTACCTAAGCCTAAGTTCAAATAGATAGTTTGGAAAACGCATATTTTGTGTTAATCTATACTAAGTGACATATAAATCCGAACACCCAGTTTAAATGGTTTTATTTTAATAAAAGTTGGTGAATGTATTTATCTTACTCTACAAGTGAAAAAATTTTCAGCCTTATCAGTTGGACATTCCGGTTCTTATACTGCTTTTTTTTATTCACTAACGCTCTAAAAATGAATATTTCAGCCGCAGTAAAGAATCAACGTTGGCGGATTTTGGTTCTTGACATCCTTTACGATCGGTTACGATGCCTAGAGTACGGAGACCTGTACGATATCGTTAACTTAGTGAGTTTGATAGGGGCCGTATAGTGGGACTTCGGAAAGCTGGACTTTCTTTTCGGGCAATTGCAGTTAGAGTGCACAGAAGTGTAGACACTGTGGTTAGGTGTTGTCAGGCATGGCTTCGAGAAGGCCGTACGCAAAGAGCAAGGGGCACTGGACGCCGCCGTAGAACAACAGACCGTGAAGATCGCCGCCTAAAATTATTGGCCTTAAGGGACCGTTTCTCCACTACCAGGTCCCATTGCAAATGAATGGTTTGCAGAACACGGAAGACCTATTGGCATGCGAAGTGTTTACCGACGAATGAGAAGTTTTGGCTTGTTTTCATACCGGCCACACTGGGTCCTCCCTTTAACTCGAGAACACCGACGTAATCGCCTTGAGTGATGCAGACAACGGTCACTCTGCGATCAGGAATGGAACAGTATTGTCTTTAGTGACGAGTCTCGATTTTGTTTAGGCATGCACGATGGTCGTGCCAGGGTTAGAAGGCGACGTGGTGAAAGGAGGAATCCACAGTTTTTTGTTGAAAGACATGTTCATCACACTGTTGGAGTTATGGTTTGGGATGCTATAGCTTATGGTTCCAGGTCACCATTAATCTTCATCAGAGGTAACATGAACGCGCAGCGTTATATCCACGAAGTACAAGAACCCCATCTTTTACCCTATCTTGACACCCTGACAGATCCAACTTTCCAACAAGATAATGCCCGACCACATGTTGCAAGAGTCACAATAGACTTCTTTCAACATGATGATGTCACATTGTTACCATGGCCACCAAGATCTCCCGACTTATCCCCAATTGAGCACTTGTGGGATATGATGGGTAGGAGATTGCTCAATTTGCAACGTCCTCCTCAGACTCTAGAAGCACTTCGAGAGGAGTTGGTGGTTGCCTGGAATGAGATACTACAGGAGGACAATGACCACCTGATCAGAAGCATGCCTAGGCGCGTTGGAGAATGCGTAGCACATCAGGGTGCATCCACACATTATTAAAGGTCAAAGGGCTTTAAAGCAGTGCAATCATTTTGAAATTTTTATCATTTACTTATTATGCTTCATTAAGTACTTATACAAAGTTTTATTAAAATAAAACCATTCAAACTGGGTGTTCGGATTTATATGTCACTTAGTATACATTTGTAGCAGGAAAAATGTTAACATTTTAATTTAGAAATGTACCTTCATCTGGAGAACTTGTTAAGAATTGAACTACTTACACTTTCTTCTTCATGATGAAATATATCACTGCAAACATTGATATTGCAAGAGAAACACCAACAACTATTCCAATTATTATTCCACTTGCTAGACCATAACCTGCAACTGAATATAAGAAGTGAAGATAAGTTTGGATTCAGGCCAATAAAAAGCGCCTCATAGTAAAAACTACATAAATAAGTAACATTAAATGTTTCCAATGTAGATCCTGAAGCATTTCCTTATCGAGATATAGAGTGCTGTGTGATGTTAATGGTGTTGTTTGAGGATAAAGCATAATATAAATATTTCTCAGTAGAGCTGAACTCATAGCAGATCCTATGCTACTTATGTACAAACAATTTTTGTGCACTCCATTTATAAGGTTTCAGATGGGATTTAAAATATGCCATGTTCTTTTTGTGCATATACTGTATTTTGAAATGCCGTGTGCTCATATAACACGCACACTATGAAAAAACGATCGCAGCGGTTGCATAATCGGTAGCTGATATTTTTTAACGTTTCTTACCTGTCCTAAAACGTACGACTTCACAATTTCTGTAAAAATCGGCTGTAAATAGTCTCACGATCAAAAAGTACTCCTTTCCTGGCACCAGTGGCTTATTGTGCACATTATCTCCCGATCCGATTGTAAATCTGGCTTCGCTTGTCCCTAGAACTTTCCACACTGGCAATTTATTAGCATATTGCTAGTATAAAGCAGCACTTATAAAAAATCTATCATTAACCAACACACTATAGAAACTATGAAACACGAGCCTGATGGACGGATAGATAAATAATTTCCAGCAGTAAGTCTTATTCAAGAAGCCAATTGGTGCCGATGCGAATTGCTGGAATTAAGCTCATTTAATTGTTCTTTGCCATGGCAAATAAATGAGTTTTGTTGATACTAGTTCCCTAACTTTACTGAAATGCAATGTGGAAACAAGCTACAGAGCAGGAAGAATAATTCTTACATACCTAGAAAGGGATTCCATCCATCGTTAGTTATTTGGTAGTACATACTAACCCCAGGATTTTCTACAGCGGGCCAATGTGTTCCATCCCATTGGCTAAAGTATCCACCAGTGACATTTTCGTCGGACAAGATTAATGAAATATACAATATTTCGCCATTAGATTCGTTCAAGTATCCCTTTATTAAGGTCACTTCTGCTTCAGTACTACGCTCTCTTACAACAACCATACTGTTGGACACTACTGGGACTAAAAGGCAAAATTTCTCTCTCGTAATTATATGAAGAGGTTAGGAAAAAAATCAGGTATTCAGTAATTTCAAATTGAAACAAAAATTGATTCAAAAATTTGTCTGTGTGGTGAAAATTGTAATTTTTGTTAGATCTAGAGTTGCACCATTTAATTTTGTTCACAGTGCAAGCCGACGTCTTGTGTACTTGCAAACTTGCTCTACTGTGTAGCAATTTATTGCTAAGGGTTCCAGGAGTACCAAAAACCACGTATTTTTGCTCATCCGACTTTTTCCACAAACGAACAGTGACAGTATTTTTTCACTTTTTAACCTCATCGCTGCTGTTTTATCGTAGTAAAAAAAGTACCGGCTTTTATAACACGCTGAATTTGAAAACACTTACTTCCGCAGAAAGCTTCGAAAGTGTACCAAGTGGTACTTTTGCTGGAGAGTTCATTCTCAACTGTGATCATGAACCTGTAGTGATATCCAGGTTGCAAATTAAGGTCGTACGGGTCATCGTCAATGATGTGAGTTTGATTCATGTCATCATCGTGTGGCCAAGTGCGAGATATTGTAAGGTAGCGTACAGTTAGGTTTCCGTTTGGATAACAAGACTTAAAGTGTATCTTCGCATTTCCATTATAGTCTACTTGTGTGGGTGGTATGACCGTAACGTTGACGTCTTGAATATCATCTGGAGCTAAAAGGAGAAATTACACATGACGGTAGCAACAATACTTTTGTAGAAGACAACTGAAAAAAATATGTTCTCCCGAAAGCCTGCACTTTTTTAACAACTCAATGACTGAAATTAGTTAACGTTGCAGTTATTTGTTCCTTTATCAACAGTAATAACTATATGAATAATAATATAAACAGATAAACAGAATGTGGCAAATTATAATAGGTTGCCCAGGTGCCATATCTAAGAATGTAATCGCAATCTCAGGTATCTTAAACGCTTACCAACTGCAAACTGTGGCCATATCCGGTATAGCCCACATTATTAGAAAGGTCATCACGTAACGTCTAACCTAAGGGATATGGCATACCCCCAGTTTGATGGACAAAGTAAGCCAGCCACCGACAAACAAACGCTGAGAAATTTGGAAGATAATAACGTCTTTATTCAGAAAATGATCATAGTATGGCGAAGTTTAGCCATGGCTATTCTACCACTTAGCCATACATCAAGCAGGCATCAAAAAAATTTGGATAACAACATAAATCAGGTAACTGTAAGAGGTGCATTAAAAAGTAGTAGGTGTAGAATTGCCACGTGCCAAAATTCCGTAGCCTTTTTTTACTATTTTGATTATTTATCAATGATTCGAATTTCCATTTATTACTGATAGCGTGCCGATTTCTAGGCCCTTTTTAATGATTTTGTTTTGTCAAATTTCATGGTCTATTGATTGCATAATTTCACACGAATTATATCTTTCTATCTCAACCACTCTTGGACATATGTTATAGTATTTTATTAACGACTATCTCAGAAATTTCGTCATAAAATATTGTTGGTCCCTCGTAGAGTTGGGTCCGCCCATTTGCAAGCAGCGTCACCCTGTGATTTCTGTACGTACTAACCTATAGTGTATTTACACCCAAGATAGAATGGATGCGTGATTGCCAAAAGCAAGAACGGCGTACAGGGCCGCATTCAGGGCTACCTCCGAATGATGGACTACCACCAACGTGTTGTAAAACAAAGATGACAGTATTTAACAGAAACAGAAACTTAACAAATTACTCAAATACACTTAACAACAACAACAGCAATAACCAAGCAAGGTGAATACGAAAACACGAGCACGCAGTGATACACGCGATGGACGGTGGCCTGAGTGCAACTTTGCCTGCCCTGCCCCTGCCCCGCGCATTATTCCGCCAGGCGACTGCTTGAAATTTAATGGCGAATTGACCAATAAGAGGCGTTGTCCCCACCTGTTACCAAGAGATCACGCGCTAACTGTTATTATTTACATCTCATCTTGAATTTGGATTCAGTTTGTATAAGAATATTTGGTTTCTATCAAGATACCTTCGTTCCTATCAAAATACCTTCTTTACCGGTTTTTCTCCGTTCCTCTTGATTTCCTATTGAACATAATTTCTTCAAGGTCACTCATTTAACCTTCATTTAAAAAGTTAGGTGTTCTGCATCACTCGCTTTCCTGTGGAGATTGTGGAATGGGCGTCGTCTCGTTAACTTCCAGGTTCTGGGATATTAGACCCCAAACACCAGCTTATGGAGTAGCACCCTTTGATTTCATACCTCAAGTTTAGTTGTGTTGGTTTGGGTGCTACCCCGTCCATATTCTAATGGGATTTAAACCTTCAGCGGTAAGTTCTTTTTTAAACCATCGGACTACGTGCATATGAATGTCCTGAATAAGTTTGTTCAATATCTGCTTCCTTTTGGTGGGAAGGCATTGCGCAGAATCACCATTCACACTCCTCCAGCTTTGTTTTCTAGCTGCCTTGTAGATGTTTTGCCGATTTTGCTAGAATCCACCCCCTCCCCTTTGACAGAATATAAACGTATAGAAAGAATAGTAACAATTGAACGGACCTCTTCTAAACAAGCTATAAATTCGGAAAAGTGAATTGATATCTTATAGTTAGCTGGTAAAGAATTTTATATAGTTTCATAAATAAATGAATTTCAAGCAGATCATTGTGCCCCAGAATTAAACCGGTTTCCCAACGAAACCATGGAATAATTAAATAAACCATCAGCACTGAGCCACTGTAACTTATTGGCACCTTTGAGGCTAAAACATAAAACTTGGTTTTATTCTTATGTATCGGTACTGGTTTTAGGTCATAAGTTCACAAGATCCACTTGAGCTTGGCTATAAGGGACAAACAGTTGAAAAAAGCAGTATCAAACTTAGGGTTATGCCAGGCATGTGTGCTCTCTTCAATGCTGTTCACCATAGTAGTCTATGTGATGGACAGGGAGGTGTCACATAGGGGCTGACAGGATTCTTGTAGACTTAGACCATGCGGATGACATCTACCTACTATCATACACCATGTAAGATACAAGGGATAAGATTGCAAATTTGGAAAGAAATGGTCAAAGTAAGATTGAAGGTTAGTGTGAAGAACACCAAAAAATGCAGTTAAACATATCAAACCAAGGACTTTTAGTCCCTTCCAATACAGTAATAGAAGAACTCGACCCATCAGAATATCTGGGCATCGTTAACAGTACCGGAGAGACTAAGATATTCAGCAACGACTATTAGAATCTAAGAGGGCTTAATTAGAACAAAGACGCAATTGTCGGTCCAACAGAACTCTCCTCCGCGATGCCGCCTTTCATCCTAACCGTGTCGAACTTCGTACAACCAGAACTGGCCCATACGTCCTCTCATTTATTCGCAGGGTACCGAGTAAAATTCCTTGAAGCTCCTCATAGCACCCACGGTACCTTGGAACTTAGGCCTACGCGGCTGTTTCGGTGTAAAAAAAGTACATGGATGTGCAGTATAGCCGAGTACGAAAGCTACTGAATACAAAATTCCAGTTTCCATCAATAGATGTCTACGAATGGTTTTGCGAATGCTTTGGCAAGAAACAGTATCAAAAGAATAACTGTAAGGAAGTCAGGGATGAAAAAATACGAACTGAGATAAGTAAAAGGAAGCTGAGCTGGGTAGGTCCTATATACTACGATGACGGATGGACGAGTCAGTAGATAGAATAGCCCTAGACTGCAATCCCCAGAAACACAGGAATGCAAGAAGGAGGCTGACATAGAGGAGAATGGTAATTGATGAGGCAAGGCGAATGGAAACATCCAGAAGCAGATCAAACCGCTCGCGAAGAATAGACTAGAGTTACGTCAGTTTGTAGAGGTCTCATATAAGGTAAAATATCCGTTATTGGACATACAGCTTCTCTCAACAATATCTACATTGTATTATCTAGCTGCACTAGACTGGCCACCAACATACGGCAATATGTTTAATAACGTTTGCAATATATATTAAGTGACATATAAATCCGAACACCCAGTTTAAATGGTTTTATTTTAATAAAAGTTGGTGAATGTATTTATCTTACTGTAAATAACTAGTGAAAAAATTTTCAGCCTTACCAGTTGGGCATTCCGGTTTTTATACTGCTTTTTTTTAATTCACTAACGCTCTAAAAATGAATATTTTAGCCGCAGTAAAGAATCAACGTTGGCGGATTTTGGTTCTTGACATCCTTTACGATCGGTTACGATGCCTAGAGTACGGAGACCTGTACGATTTCGTCAACTTAGTGAGTTTGATAGGGCCGTATAGTGGGACTTCGGGAAGCTGGACTTTCTTTTCAGGCAATTGCGGTTAGGTGTTGTCAGGCATGGCTTCGAGAAGGCCGTACGCAAAGAGCAAGGGGCACTGGACGCCGCCGTACAACAACAGACCGTGAAGATCGCCGCCTAAGATTATTGGCCTTAAGGGACCGTTTCTCCACTACCAGGTCCATTGCAAATGAATGGTTTGCAGAACACGGAAGACCTATTGGCATGCGAAGTGTTTACCTACGAATGAGAAGTTTTGGCTTGTTTTCATACCGGCCACACTGGGTCCTCCCTTTAACTCGTGAACACCGACGTAATCGCCTTGAGTGGTGCAGACAGCGGTCACTCTGGGATCAGGAATGGAACAGTATTGTCTTTAGTGACGAGTCTCGATTTTGTTTAGGCATGCACGATGGTCGTGCCAGGATTAGAAGGCGACGTGGTGAAAGGAGGAATCCACAGTTTTTTGTTGAAAGACATGTTCATCACACTGTTGGAGTTATGGTTTGGGGTGCTATAGCTTATGGTTCCAGGTCACCTTTAATCTTCATCAGAGGTAACATGAACGCGCAGCGTTATATCCACGAAATTCTAGAACCCCATCTTTTACCCTATCTTGACACCCTGGCAGATCCAACTTTCCAACAAGATAATGCCCCACCACATGTTGCAAGAGTCACAATAGACATCTTTCAACATAATGATGTCACGTTGTTACCATGGCCACCAAGATCTCCCGAGTTATCCCCAATTGAGCAGGTGTGGGATATGATGGGTAGGAGATTGCTCAATTTGCAGCGTCCTCCTCAGACTCTAGAAGCACTTCGAGAGGAGTTGGTGGTCGGTTGGAATGAGATACCACAGGAGGACATTGACCACCTAATCAGAAGCATGCCTAGGCGCGTTGGAGAATGCGTAGCACATCAGGGTGCATCCACACATTATTAAAGGTCAAAGGGCTTTAAAGCAGTGCAATCATTTTGAAATTTTTATCATTTCCTTATTATGCTTCATTAAGTACTTATACAAAATTTTATTAAAATAAAACCATTTAAGCTGGGTGTTCGGATTTATATGTCACTTAGTATACTTCCGTAAATTTCTGTTAGATTGTCAAACGGTCAGAATCTTATTTAATGTAGGGATGTAAGCTGCTGAGATGCGTGCAATGTCCTCAGCTGATAACAAATTCTAACAAGCATGGCAGAGAATATTGCCATGATTTATGATGACAAATATCGCGAAAAAAATTTTATTCGTTTGATGGCTGCACAAGAATATAACAATTTATCTAAATCCAGTTAGACCAACTTACCAGATGGTTTGGTATTTGCTGTTAGATAAACATAGTCTCCATAGCCAGTCGTTGAATATGCCCTCAACACTAAATGGTATTCATAGTATGGGAAGGCTTCCGTGAAAATGTATCTGGTATCATTAGCAGATAGAACTACAGTCCTAGATTCATAGTCATAATAGCAATCCCGCCATTTAGGGTAAAGTGGACTTTTGGGAAGGATTGTTAGTTCGTAACCCTGTATCGCTCCAGTAGGTTCGGTTGGTGCTTTCCATGTTACAGTTATGGACCTATCGCTCGTGTCGGTTCTATCGAATATAGGTTTTCCTGGTACTATAGAAAAAAGACAACGTGATTAATACGCTCGTTATTTTCCATCTCTATATCACACGTTCATTCAATCTGTGTTGAATTTTCATTAAATGTACATGTAAATAATACAGGATGATCCAAAAGTCCAGGAAAGCCAAAATATCTGAGAAATAGTGAAGAGGTATGGTAAAAGGATTTACCTTGAATTTGACCTTAAGCGTGAGTGTGAATGTCAAATCAAGGTCAATACGATTTTTTTTAATAGGATCTTATAATTTTTACTTCTGAGACTGATAGAAAGGAACGCACAAGGTACTATGTAAAAAAATATCTTGACCTAGCTTTGGCACTTGAGCACATGATTTAGGTCAGTTTCAAGGTTACCATTGAACAGCCAGATAAATTGAAGTCTCTGCTATATTCGAATCCTTATTTTTGCTATCTTTAGAAACATTTTTGATACGTGATAAGGACATTCAAGGTTAAAAAACTTTCAACCCAAGGTCATAGCTAAGTGTGAAATTTCAAAGCTATAGGGTTCTACAAAACAAAAATGTTGCATAGGTTGGCTAGCGAAAAGTTGTAGCTCCTTCCAGCTTAGGGTCCTTATTTTTCTTGATTTTCAAAAAGATTCTTGAATCTTTTCAATCGAGGATTCCTTACAATGACCTTGAACATGACTTTCAAGGTCAACTTTTTTCCCAATGTCATGTCTGAATGCAGAATGTTCCGCTCTTAGGTGTCTGGGGTTGAAAGTATACTGTCAGATTTAAAAGGTCTCCTTAATCTGACTTTCAAGATGATGCTATAATAGTTTCGGAAAATACATATGAATCGTCCATACTTACCATCATCTGGAGTGGTAAAGGAAATTTGTGAGATTGATCCCTCTATGCCTTCTGTACCGTCTTGAACAACTAGTGACAGATTGGTTGTGTAATGGAATGCCAGCCGCAGATCTAGTGAGATATTGTACATACTCATATTTTTGTTAACAACCAGTATTTTTGACCGGTCTTCCTCTAGGGAATCATTTAGGCTATAATGTCCGTGGATACTGAGTTTGAAATGCCAAGGAACGCCATTTAGACTGCACGGTAGCCTCCAGGATAAAGTAGTTGTACCATTGTCTTCCATGAGAGCATTCAAATTTTCAACTGCTTCAGGGGCTGACAAATTTCAGAAGTCATTAGTGCAAGCCAGTCAATAATTCAAGTTGTAGTTATATATAGTATACTTGCAGATAAACGGTAGGCGTGATAAATGCTGTAAATAGCTCCGCATTACTAAGCTTTCAACGTTTTTTTTTTCGTTAGATATAGGTGTAGTAAGGTGTTCTTCAAGTGGGAACACAGCGGATAGATACGAGGGTGGTTCAATAAGTACCCTTGTTTGAAATGAAGACACCATTTTTTCCAAAAAATGTCTTTTTATTTTCCAACATAATTCCTTTTTAGAAAGATACTCAACTCAAAGTTCCTGCCACTTTTTAACCCCCCAAAAAATAGGATTTGTCGAACTCTCCAAAATACGCCCCTGTCTCGGCGATGACTTCCTCGGTTGAACTAAATTTTTTCCCCGGGAGCCATTTTTTCATGTCAGGGAACAAGAAATAGTCGCAGGGGGTCAGATCTGGTGAATATGGACAGCACTTTATAACGCAATTCATGCAGCTTGGCGGCGACAACTCCGGATGAATGTGCTGGTGCGTTATCGTGCTGAAACCAGCACCTTCTTTTTCGTGAAATGTGGCTGTGTCTCCTTCAATTTTTTGTCGAAGCGATCCAATGACTCACTATAGTATTGTCTAGTGATCGTTTTATCTTTTTCAATAAAATCCACGAGGATGACGCCGTTCGCATCCCAAAAAATCATCGCTATGGCCTTTCCGGCCGATGGGATCGTCTTCGCCTTCTTTGGAACAGATTCACCGGGAAGAATCCATTGTTTTGATTATTGTTTAGTTTCTGGTGTGTAATGATGAATCCAGGTTACATCGACGGTGGCAACTTGACGGAAAAGCTCCTTCGGATTTCGTTTAAATTGCTACAAACACTGCTTCGAAGTTTATTAGCCGCATCCGATTGATGTCCACCGCGAGTAATTGCGACATCCATCGAGCCGACAATCTTTTCATAGTCAATTTATCATGTAAAATATTGCTTGCCGTTCCGGTTGAGACAACTATGGCCTCTGCTACTTCGCGCACTTTCGTTCGTCGATCAGCGAGAATCATGTCGTGGACATTTTGAGTGATTTCCTCGGTAACCACGTCTGCCGGGCGTCCTGGTCGATCCTCATTAAAAACGGATGTTCGCCCATGTTTAAATTCATTAAACCAATGTGGTCATTGTGGTTATAGATGGCGAAGTGCCCCTATAAACAGCATCCAACTTTGCTTTTATCTCCTCGCATTTTTTCCCATCCAAAAGCAAAAAGCGAATTACCGAACGATACTGCTCTTTTTCCATCTTAGCGAAAATCGCGAAACACCTGTTACTCGAATGGCTGCCAAATCCAAACTAACCTATCAATCAGTCTTAAATTTGTTGTGCCGTCGTCTGATAGATGGCAGCACACGATGATAACATTAACTGCCCTCTGTCGTCAAACACTGGTACTTATTGGAGCGCCCTCGTAGAAAATAAGCAACTTTCCCTAGTAACACATATACAGCAGTCTTAAAAAAACCGAGCTACTAAATGCCAAAAAAATCTGTGAGGTGAAAAGATACGATGTGTGTGACCATCCAACCCTGTGCGCCACGGATCCGGAAAACAAAAAATGGACGCTAAATAAAACCTCATAAGCGTGTTCTTGCCTTTTGCTGTTGAAGTGTAACTCGCTTTTATTTGAAATCGTGAGACGGAAGAAATTCGTTATCATTTAAAGCTTAACAAGAATAAAATGGCATTTCCTATAATCTATCTTGAAATTTTTAGTTTGTTTTACTAACAGCTAAATAAAAGCTTGTTTTTAAAAATGTGTTACTTTCATTTCTTTCGTTTTCAAAGCTGCTGTTTCAAACGTCGTTTCTCGAAAGCAAGGATCAATATTTCTAACTTAAAATAGTTTGAAGCTCACCCATTGGAGACGTAGTTTCAGTGACGTATCCTCCTGCTGGCGTTCCACATCTAGTGGTGGTAGTAACAGAAATGTTGTACTTATAGCTGGAGAAGGTATGGCTACACGTGAAGGTATTTTCGGAAATATTATACTGCCTTTCATCCTTAGCCGGAATACAATACGGAGGTACATCATATGCGGGACCAATTCCTTGAAGGTAGACGAGGTAAGTTGCTTGTTCATCTCGAAGCGGTAGCCAACGCAATGATATGTTAGTAGCGTCAATGCTAACTACTTCCGGCTCTAGATCAACTGCAAATACACATAAAGTATCTTCATAATTGAGCACGATGTTGGTCCTTATGATTCGATTCAATGAATATTTGTCGTTGTAGTGCAACTGACATGTCATCAGTAACAAAACAGTTCCTTAACTGAAACCGCAGAAGTTAGAATCGCAAATGTGATACCAAAAACTTGATGTTAACAATGTTCAAAACAGTCGATCGAAAGAGTTGATATATATTTCGTAGCAACGTTCCATGTAAAGAACGAGTGAAAGATCAGTCTAAGTACTAAATCTTGAGTCGTATCAGCTGTTTCCAAACAACACACAATAAGCACTGTTACGAAAGAAGTTGATTTCTCAAAAGAGATGTAATAAAAGTCCTACAGAAATCGAGACAATAAAATAATTCAGTTAGCAGTTCACTTATAAACGCTGTTAAAAATTATTTCCATTGACTGCAACGCAAGCTTGGGCGCGTCGTCTAATCCAATTTCGGCGCACTAATTTAAATACACCTTCGGTCACGCAATTCTTCAATATTCTGAACTGGAGTACGGTATACCTCTTTTCTTCAAGTATCCCCATAAAAAAAGTCCAGAGGATTTAGTTCGGGAGACCGTGGCGGCCATGCAATAGGCTATTTGACAGTATTGAAAATAAGTTGCGAATTGTGGTGATCCTATTAGATAATAGAATAAGAAAACACATAGTACTTTAATGTACACCTAAATATGTATATTTTTTGGGAAATAATCAAATAAAAATCAGCTATTTTTAAAAATTCGATGAATCACAGAAACGCCCTGCGATTGGTTGCGACTCTGGTGACGTCACTTGCAAGTAAACAAACATCGCGTTGTACGTTTTTGCTGGCTTTCTGTGAGATATTCTATCATAATTCTATTTCGTAAACAGATTTTTATTACTTTCTTGATCAATCTTTCAACTATTGGCATCATTATTCGTTGCGGACTTCAAAATGGACCTAAATTTTGTGCAAGCTGATAACAGCAATTTACCTAAGGTTGACGCATTAATGGTAGCATTTTTCTTCAAAAATAATGCGGACTACTATGCTGCGGAACTCAAACATGTGAAAACAACAATGTAAGTAGTAATAGAAATTATTTATTTATACGTACTAACCTTTATGTATTATCATTAAAAGATTTGTAAAATCAATCTTATTTTAGGTTATGTTTATGTAATGAAAAAAGCTTTCAGTTCAATATGATAATATGGTTCATATATGGTTTCATGAATAAAACATACTTTCATGTTTTGATTTTGTTTTACAGGTCTGGAAGGGAGTCCTACGGAGACGATGCAATTGGCTATGTGCAGCTGCACCGGGAGCATGGACTTTGCACACTTAAGTGCAAAATCTGCCCAGAGCACAAAGTGAGATCAAAAGCTTATAATGTGACAATGGTTATCAACGAAAATGAAAGCGAGGTAATAAGTTGTCAGTGCCATGGCTGTGCTGCTTCAGCAGGAGGCTGCAAGCATGCAGTCGCTTTTTTGATGTGGGTACATCGGCGCAGTGAGGAACCTCCATCTACTTCGGTGGAATGTTATTGGAAAAAGCCAACATTGTCAAGAGTAGGGACTACTCTGAAGTACATCACGGTGCAGCAGATGTCGAAAAAGGAAGTACCGCACAAACCAAGTACATCAGCACTTTACACAGACTTTATTGGAAGCCAAAAAAAGAAAACTTCAACACTGTGAATTGATAAAATATCAGGATGATTTTAAACACTCAAATGTTATGCGGTATTCGCTGCACTGTTTCATAATGGACCAACCACCAAAAATTCAAGCAGACGTAGACAATCTTGTAGACATAATGAAGACAACATTCAACAGAGCTGCTATCAGTGCAATTGAAGAAGCAACAAGAATGCAGTACAAGCCCAGCTTGTGGTATGAGATGAGATATGGCCGTATCACAGCTTCAAAGGCACATGAAGTGAGCGTATGTCATACACCTGATGGTTCATTGGTTGCTACTATAATGGGCGCAAAATACCAGATACTATTGCAATGAAAAGAGGTAGAAGTTTGGAGCTATCTGTCCGGAAGACAGTTAGTACAACATTGAACAAAAAAATCAGAACATGTGGACTTTATGTATGCCAAGACAATCCCATGCTTGCAGCATCTCCTGATGGTTTATTGAAAGATACCATTGTTGAAACAAAATGCCCTACCAAAGCAAAAGCTAAGAACAATTATTTAAAAAATGGAATTATTTCAGAAATGTAAGGCACAGGTTCAATTACAGATGCATGGAACTGGTATGAAAAAATGTTATTTTTGTGTTGCTGATAGCAACTTTGAAGAAACAAAAAATGTAGATATTATTCTAGTGAAGTGCGAAGATGATTATGTCAACAACATAATAAAAAACTTATATTATAATATATTTTTTTGAAAAAAAATATATATCCTATTTTGTATCGTAGCACTAGTCTGTGATTATCAAATAAAAAACTATGCAGTGCATATTTCTTGTTTTATTATTATTTTATTCATGGTTTTACATCATTTATTTCTTTATTTATAGTAGTAGTAGTAGTAGAAGTATTTATTCAGCCAAGTACAAAACACAATGTTCAAATGGTATGTCACAAAAGAGGAGATTACATGATAATAATTAAGTATAAAGTATCATAACAGGCAAAAACCCATTATTTAATAAGAGAATCTTGCAAATTTATTAGAGCACATGCAATTATAATGACATGATCAAGTACACGACGGATGTTAGTATTTATCACTGCATGTTGCTTTAAAATATGAAATTCTCTCAAACCCTTTCAATATGAATCCGCAAACTAGCTATTATTTTAGTTTGTCGAACTTCAGTTTTTGACAACTTTGCACCAGCATTTACACTGGGTGGTCTTAATAGTTTTAGTCCCTTTTCATGAAGTATTTGTTCAAGAGTTTGAAGCCTCTGTCAGCTAAGCAATAGGATCCTTGGGGTAATCCATCTAGAAAGTTACAATTTTCTACTATTGTGGCATCGCTGGTTCTGCCCCCAAACCCATGCGAAACATAATTAACTAAACCATTAGGTGTGCAGGATACCAAATACTTCACAGTATTCCCCTTTTTGTACTCTGACCACGTCAATGACTGATGAAGAGCCTTTGATGGTTTTTGTATATCAATCTCTAAACAATCTATGATGCAACTGACATTATGATAGTTATGTCTAAATGAAATAGGAAGATTTTTTTTACCAATTTTTTATCTATTTTTACAATGAATGGTCTTAAAACACTAGCTATTATTGGTATATTTTGTAGAAACAATTTACTAGCATAAGATAATGATATTCCAAAATTATCCTCCAGTTCAGAACATGTACTGTTCATTCTAACCTTTTTCAAGCATAGCAAAATGTGTTCTACTTTTATGCTTGTGTGTTTATGTAACAATTTGGTTAAGAAATAACATTCTTTTGGAATACCAACATACATCATTGGTTTTTTAGGGATTGAACGCATAGTAATTTTGAGGCACTCTAATTTTTCAATATTCTCATTGGCATCTGTAACATTACTATCAGAGTCGGTAAGCCCTGATGATGATGATGCTGATTTAGTTACAAAAGGTGATAAATGACGAACACTTTCAATACAGGAAATATCACTATCTGACCTTTCATCTTCAAGAAAAACATTTCTCTTGACTGCTTTGACAATTACAGACTGTGATGGTCGAAGACTGCATGGTTTAATCTTAAAGGGCGAAGTGGAACGAGATGTTGTAGAAACTTTCATTGGTGAGGTAGAAATACTTGTAGTCTGGCATCTTGTTTGAACAGATTTGCTCCTATGATGCACATTCTCTTTTATTGTTACTTGCACAGATTTTTCTGCAGTTATGATAGAGTTGGTAATAGTTTCTCTGTCTTGAGTTCTTGATAAACCTGAAAGAACAAAGACTCAAAATTAGTGTCTTAATTTCAATGTAAATGATTACGTTAAGGCACTATGAAAAGTTGTCTACTACTTCTTCCATTATCACAGTGCTGGATAAGAGGTAGTGAATCACAACATCAACAGCTTGAGAGAAAATTACCCATTACCTGAAGTACAAGTTGAGCATTCTTGATCACCTAGCAAGTAAAATGTCCCACTAAAATGACCTATCACTTTGAATATATCAATTTTAAACCATAAATATTATTCTGTGAAAATCTCAATGTGCTACAAATATGTCTTTATGATTTTTTCGAAAAATACCCTCAATACCCTTAGGGACAACAGTTACTCATCTTATTCAGTTCTGCCCTTTTTATTCAGAAATAATAGAAGAAGTAGTAGACAAGTTTTTATAAGGCCTCAAATAGGTTACAAAATGTCTATCAGCTCTTAGACTATAATTTATGATAGGACACATGTAATAGATTACATACCTTGAGGTTCAATAGTGTCTTGTATCAAACTCTCATCTTTTTGTAAGCTTTCAGCTTGGGCTTCAGTAGCATTTTGACTTTGCAAACATGTGTTGACCAAATCCATTCTTTTCCTCTTGACATATGCTCCTCGAGAAAGTCCAGCATCAGACAGTGGTCTTTTACGATCTTCTTGACAATGAAATTTTGTTGGCACAGCATCTTCTGTCAAAAGTATCTTCTTGCTGAAACCCATTTTGTACTGCATGTAGTTAATGGTATCTTTTTCCATCTGCAATTCAACATAACTATCACTATCTAATAAGCAAAGTAGGTAAAATGACACAGCATAGAAAATTATTGAGATATGTAGGTAGCTAATATAATCAAAACAACAGAAAACATTTTGAAACCCTACAGAGTAATGAGTTTAGGGTTAATAAACAGGATCTTTGATCCTCAACATTGATTTATCCTCAACACAACCAAAGATACATTTGAGGTTATAGGTAGTTATATATTATTTCAATCTTAAAAAAAGCGGTAATTTAAGCTACCTAGTAGATAACATATTCAATTTATACTTACATCGAAGTGATCTTCACACATAAATACATTTGAAGACGATGAAATGCCCTTTGGGTCTCTTCGAGCTAATAGTAACCACTTTTTTCGTCTTTTACAATCGGTTGGAACAGAAACAAACAATGTTTGTGGACTATTTATACACGTATTCGTACATTTTGGCACTACACACCATTTATAGACCATTTTATCTATGATTTTATAGCAAAATCTAGCACAATAATGAAATTAACTTCGGCTGACAGCTCGTGATCGTGTCTACTGGCGTGTGACGTCACAGACGTCATCTGCCGGCGCCATCACAAGAATAGCGTTTTTGGCGCGGTTCTAAAAATTCAAACTTTAAATTTGATTTCTATTAAAAATAGTATTATACATAAAAGAATAATTTAAAATGATTTTGCAAAATTAGTCAAATAGCCTATTGGTCCTCTCCTTTCGATCCAGCGTAGCACGAACTTCTAAACGAAAATGCGGAGGTGCCTCATTGTGCAGAAACCATATCCGTGCTCGGACCGTCAATGGCACATCATCAAGAAGGACCGGCAAATCATTCCGAAGAAATTCCAAATACTAGTGACCATCCTTCCGATCTGGCAATATGAACTGTCCAATTAGACGTTAATCGACAATATTTGCCCACACATTTAAAGAAAAACGATGGTGGAAGTGTGTCTGGACCACTGCGTGAGGATTCTCAAAGGACCCAACGTGTGTATTATGAAGATTGGTTATCCCATTACGAGTGGCCAAAATATCAGCTGTAAAACGGGCATATCGAGCATTTTCTTGCAACATTATTATTGAAACTCAGGTTTATAACGTAATTTCTGTAGGACTTTTATTACTTTTTTTCTTTCGTAACAGTGCATATGTGGTTAAAACTTGTCGGGTGAGTTGTGAAACACCCTGTATATAACTTTTTCTGCGACTTACTTGGGCAAAATGGTAGATCAGTAGTACTGACGGTATCTGTGGTACCATTTGTAAAGCTTTCTGTGGTGGTACGCTCCGTCGTGTCACTATCTTGGGTAGTCCCCATAGCTTCTATGGTATTTCCCATAACTTCCGTACTACTTTGTATGGTAGAATCCAAATCTGTTGTAGTACCATCTTTAAAATATAACCGTGTAACATAATTTGTATCGTCAGAAGGTAATATGGTTGTTGATAATTGGATTGGCATTTCAGTGTCACTAATCTGAGAGAGAGAAAATTATATATTAATATACCAAAACGACTCGTAATATTATCCATGCAGAAGCATTGAAATTTTTTGTTTGAAACCGAAAAAAGCAAAGATGACTATCTATGTATCGAAGTAGTAAAGTGGGCGTTTATGACCCGCGGCTGTTAAGCAAAAAGGGATGCACAACAAGTAATAACAAATTCTTTTCATGGTCTATTTCAAAATAAGTCTTGCATACGAAAAAATAAGCATCATTAAAGGTGTAAGACTAACTACGATAAGCAGCTATCCCAGAGCATCTAGGGAAACCTGAACTTACCTCATTCTGTCTAAGTGAAACTGTACTTGGAGGAGCTGCAAAAGTGTCTTCTTCTGTGGGATCCTCGCTTTCGACACTGCTTGATTCCGAAGTTTCACTGTGTCCTGCATCATATGCATGTGATTCCGTTACACTGGCATCATATGAAGCTATAGATACCTGTACCACAAAACAAAGAAAACACAATATCGCTGAGAAGGAACAGCCCAGCTTCATATTTCAAGCACTCTGCTGTTAGAAATGCTTTCGCGTTGACGAATGCCGGAAACTGTTATCAACTATTTAGTCTTCTTGATTTCAAACAATCGTTGTAGACAACCACATGCTGCGCTGTTTTCAAACCGCATAGTATGTAAAATTTAGACTATGTCGTACGGCAGAGCATGAGATAACGTAAATACAGATATAAAATACGTTATCGCGATTATCTACGTTATAGATATCATTCATTGTTTTACTAAAAGTACTTTGGCTGCGCTGATAGGGATTCCTTGTTACAGTAAACAAATCAAGTTTACGTTTATAAGCTGTTATTGACTACGTCATCTTGAGTGCAGTTTCAGGTACAAAACCGGACATACTATATTCTGCTTCAGTGTTAGAACGTTGCAAGTATGTCATTTATATATTGAATGCAAGATATTTTTTTTATTAGCTTGAGAGAGATTAGTATGAGGTGCTTCATTGGTAAAAGATATCTTTGGTTCAATGGAACAATATACAGAATGTCCGAGATAAGGATGTCAATACGTTTGGGAAATACAGGTTAGGTTAAGCTAGGGCATATATACTTGGACACCCTGTAAAAATGTAAATGTCTCTCCAGCCTGCCAGCATCACGTCAGCCACAATACGAAAAGACGTTTGTTTTTATCTGCCAATTCATCGTCAAATTTGCCTATATTTACAGGATGTTTACGGAATACCTCAAAAACTTGAATTTTTTGGTAGAGAGGAAAACAAAAGTAATTTGTCGATTCTTTAGATATGAGCTCAAAATGATATACCACCTTAAATGTTGCCGGCTTTAATTATACCTGTCTCTAAAATCTCAAATCCTACTGAACTTAAACAGCTCACACCTATTACCTTGTTACCCGTGCTTTAAAAAATTGTAAAAAAAATATACAGAAACTATATACTTCAAGTAAAACAAAACACCAAACAAATCTATATAAAGATGATGACGCTAAAAAAGCGTGCCCGATGTAAATTTCTGTCGGACCAGCGACTGAGCGCTTCCTCGCCAAACAACTCATGTCAAATGCGATCACGTCGTTTGGGCTGCAGCTTGTGAAATACATATTTCAAAGCAGCCTAAGTGGTATTTCAGACTATAATATATTTATATACGAAATTTCATCCAGATTCGTTCAGCCATTTCGGCGTGATCGAGTAACAAACATTCACACATTGTCATATGTAATATTAGTAGGGATAAACATTTCTGCTACTGATACATGTTAGTCTATTTGTGGCTTGATCTGAAGCTGGTAGCTTTCCTCGTCACCGCGTCATCTCGGAGAACGCTACACCAAGTTTGGGGATACCTGATGAACACAGTGTGATGTCAGACAAACAAATTCACGAGGACTAAATGGTGTACACCCTTGCGTTTTGTTCTGATAGTCCAACAGGCTGACACACCAGCAAACCGACGGAGATTGAGTTTAAGGAAGAAAGTAATTTTTTGTAATATATGAAATGGAATACCTGCAAAATGCATATCTCCAAAAATCGGTACGGAGTAAAGAATTTTCCGGCTTCTGAAACGTTCGCTTTTCTACGAATAAAATAGCACTTCCCGTCGCGACAATAAAATTGTGGTGTATGAAGCCGTGCGAGGTTGGAACTTGATATAGAAATCTGCGAATATTCAATTTTATGCTGTGTCTGTGATCTGCAATATACGCTTCCTTTTGCCAAATGAGGCTTGCACTGGTTCGACTTCATCCATGAGAAAGCACAGCTTCACCGTTTATTATTTTAGATATAAGCCACTTTGAGAGATAGCTTTTTGAACTACAAGCGATGTACGAAAATGAGATTTGTAAAGGTAAGTTTCGTCTGCAGCTTTGCGCCAGAAAATCCGTTTCAGTTTACAACATGTGCCCAGGACTTTTGTACGGACAAGGCTCTGCAACATGTTGTGGCAATTGTACACAATGGATGCACTTCTATCTAAACTAGCTGGATACACGTTGTAGAACATGCATTTATCTCAGATACCTGCAACTGCATCTCTGTATATGAACCTTTTTTGACTCAAACGGAAGCCCATCGGATACAATAGGTGCAAAACTGTTGCATTAGGTTCATTCACGGTCTAAGTAGATTTGATCTTCTTATATTAAAAGTATTCGTTGGCTTAGGATGAGACAAAGACAGACTTATCGCCTGATATGTTCGGTTCATTCGGTGTTACTAAGGATAACATCAGTTTAGTTGAATAAAGAGCTATCCTTGAAAACTGACATACATTATATTGATTTGAGTCTTGTATGTCACACCTTGGACGTTCTCAAACACAAAACAACAGCTTTCAAAAGCTCCTTCTCATATCTAGCATCTAAGTTGCTGAACAGTATTCCTTCCACCCATAAAATCAAGTCTCTTAGAGCATTCAAATCTGGAATCAATGATCTGATGATAGTCACTGTCTTATTTGATGTTATTTGTAATATGATGGCAATGTAAGTGTTTTGTTTGTAGCTTTTATGTTTTGTCTATGTATATGCTGACCATTTTTTCAAAGTGTCCAAACCAGTTTCACTCCACCTTATTTTATTTTAGGTAAGTACTTTCGCCAGGTGAAAATAAAAGCTTTCTATTACCATTACTTGTTCACATTGAAACGAACTGCATTCGGGTTATTTCAAAAATTTACTTTTTACCCTTACATTTTTTGTATTATTGATAGAGGTTTTTAAGAAGGTTCTGCCGTTTGGCGAATCAAAATGGGATGCGGTTCACAGAGACATTAGAAAGACAATTGTTGTTTAATTCAATAAAGTTTGATCTATCACCTTTTTTTAACCCTATTTAATTAAATATCATTGAAAGGATCTAATTCATATTCTCCATCCTGATGTATCGTGAGTTTTTATCCAGGTTTATTCTCACTGGACAAAAAACATAGTTCCATTTATATGTCGAAGTACTTTTTCTCACGTTTTAGATCGATAAAAAATGGATTTGCAACATTTTAGCCGAATATTGCATCACTATAAATCGGTGTGTTTCGACATCAGTTCTGGGTAGGTTTTCGCATTTTTGGAGGGCTTTTGGACTTTTCGGAACGTTGGGCGATGGTGACGTATCTGGTACATTAAAAAACGACATATAACCTCATGCTCGCTTGCCTTTTTGGACGACTGGACATCTTTTTGGATGCGGAAATGCTCACTCCATGTTATGATGGTTTTGGGTGATATTCAAATTTGGAATGATGGCTTTGCGGAATCTCAGCATGGTACGGACCTATCAGACTGTTCTAGCAACACAATATATACGAACTTGAAAATGAAAAAAAAAAAACAAATGAAGTGCCACCTGGAAAAGATAAATAAACAGGGCTCACCAAAATGACATTTTTTCCACACATACATATTCCTAAATCAATTTAAAATTACTGAATACTAGTTAACAATGTTAAGGTACCCCTCCAACAGACGCACTTCCTCGTCTTTGCTCTCTTCCGTTCCTGCCTTTCTTTCTTCCGTCCTTTTTTCTCCCTAACTTTGTCTGGTATCTAGGCAACCAGACCTGACAGACTACTGAACTATAATACTTTAACCAAGAGCAAAGGTCTCACGGACCGCTCTGACAGACAATGACTAACAGAGAGACAGATAAAATATTTTGTACTGAAGAAGGTTGAAACCGAAACGTTTACAATAAAGAAGCAATTTTAATGTGACCATGTGCAGGTAAACGATACCGCGTCTTCTTTAGTAGCTAGTCTTACTAGAGTCAGTAGCGAGATCACAAATTTCTTAATACCTATGTAGATCCACTGCTACTATTTTTCAAATCAAATATTTGATAGGGAATGATATGTTAATTGCAGTTGACATAAGCTAAGCGAATATCCTGATACGTCTGGTGTTCCTCAAGGGTCTAATTTGGGACCTCTGTTATTTACTATGTTTTTAAATGATTTTACTGAAGTTATTGATGTCAATTTTCTTACATATGCTGACGATATGAATATTTTCTGACAATGAAGATTGTCATCACTTACAATGCAACATTGTAAGGGTTGGCAATGATGTATAGTCAACGCCAAACAAAGTGGCGTGCACGTCATCAAGGTCGGTGTGTTGAAAAATTTACATTGTTGCCAAACTTTTTGTAAAATAATAAAATTTATTATTTACATATCTAGGTTTATAAGCAATATTAACCTCAAATGAGAACAAAAATAATAGTATAATAAAATTATAGATCTGTACTTGCATAATCATTAAGTATGACAATTATTGATCAGATGACACTATGAAACTACCATATTTAATTGATAGCTTAAAGGTACTGAATAAAAATCCAAATAAGGTCCTCCAAATTTTATGCATGGTATTTATTTTACAGAATTCATACAGAAAAATGCATTCTAAAATTAGGTAAGCTACTGGTGTAAGCTTTTTCTGTACAATAAAGTTAGTCGGAATTTCTTTCTTCAGCGCTGTCTGAATCTGAATCTTCATCACTCTCAAAGTTGATTATTAAAGGTTCGATGTCTGGTCGATCAAAAATTCGTTCTCTTTCATACCATTTAAAATTTTCTTGCTCAGTATGTCGAACACTATTTTTCCACATGTCTGGGGTAACCGTTTGTAGAGCCTCGTTCCACATATCCAAACAGTCTTTTTCACTGTTACCATCTCTACCAATATGTCTGTTATAGTAACCTTTTGCTATGCCCCAAATTAACTCAATAGGGTTAAATATACAATGGTAAGCAGGCAGACGAAGAACTTTGTGCCCATATTGTTCCACCAATTCATCAATCACGTATATTTTAGGTGGTTTGTTTCTAAAAAAGCAGTTATTTTAAGAATAGGAATAAACAAAAGAAATATAAACTGTCGACGAAAATATATATAATTAAGAAGCATTATGTACCGAGCAACAATACTCAATAGCTCTGTTTTAAACATTGTGTTTAAAAATGGTATGTTTTGATTTGTCAACCAGTCTTGGATATTTTTTTTTTGTTCATGCATTGTTGGGCACTTTGTTCAATATCATGCTGTGATAAGGGGCGTTATCCAGTATAATCATAGATGGACTCTCCAATTTTTCTAATAACTGATGTTGAAACCATTTCAAAAAATTGTCCTGGTTCATCTCTCCATGGTAATCGCTCAATTTGTTTTCGAAGAAAATATCGCTTCACTACCCTCAATAAACCCATTTTCATTTCCAGCATGTAATATAATGTATCTAAAATATATTAGTTTTAAATTTTATAGTGCAAATTGTGTAAAAGTACATACCTTTTACCATCTGTTTTAATAGCTTTCACGCTTTTTTGGTTTCCATTTTGCCAAGAGCGACCTATGGTCCCATTTTGAAA